AGTGGGGGGGGGCGAGACAGTTAAGCAGCTACCGCTCCATGGTATTTAAGTACCGGCATGAGGCACGACGCAAAACCGCGTCGCTGAGTTATGCCGATCAGTAACATGTTCGGGCACCAACAAAATTGACACTATCCTTTGGCAATATGCAGAAAATTATTTTTTAATATTTTTGACCAACTTCAGCAGCTTGAAGGTCAAAAGGGTTCTTTAGTAACTAATGCGAAGCACACAGCTTTGTAATCGTTTGAGTCATCTCGTGATCTTCACTTCTTAGCTAAGAGGCAAGCCGTGCAGTATGAGTATGTGCACTGAGAATTGAATGATCAAACTTACACATAGATCATGTGTAGAACGGATTGTAAAAGACTACTGACTAATATAGCCCAAACGACTTGTGCGCCTACTCACCATAAGCCATCCGAAAATTATGCATGATATTTTTTATAAACTCGAGTCCAGTTACTCATTTTTCAAAGTTAATATCGAACTGTCATTAAAGGACAGAGCTCTGGACTTTATACAAAATTCAATGAAGAGAAGAATCAAAAAAAACGGAAGAGAATCGCCAAGAACCATTATGACTGAAATTTAATGTTGTTGTTTAATTTAATTTAACTAATTACACGATTGATGAACATTTACAGACAACGCAAAGTGTAATTATTATCCGAAAACTTTGCTCCTTTAAATGATTGCAGAACTGCGTCGGCAGTTAAAATGGTCATCTTCCACGAAGGTCATGAGTGAACGGCACGAATGCTGCATATACTGCGAACTGTGCTTGCCTAATATATCTTAAATCCATCCTTGATATTAATCGAACCACATGAAAAATTGCTAAAATACGACGGAACGTTTCGTTTTTCAAACGTTTCCTTCAAATGTTCCAGAAACAGACTGTCTTATTGCATGAGGGCCAGTGCTGAATAACGAATCATCCAAATAACCGTTTCATTTCATGCGTAGAAAATGCTCTTGCTTTCTCAGTCATTTCCATAGCTTGTTTTCACTTCGTCTATCCTAACCGTCGGTTGATGCTTGCTGATTACCATCGGGGAGCCGGCGTTGTACCGTCGGTCAGAGCCGTCGGCTCGGCCTCCGACCCGCATTACACGGGTGTTTTTATAATGAGACTCCGGTTGTTTAGGACCATCGCATCATATAACGATAAGTTTTTACTTGTGAATGGTGACGTTCCCAGATCATTGGCCTGGCATCTGTGAAAGAACGACCGAATATGACTAATGTGCACAAACCTTAGAATTCTCTTATACAACCCCTGTTGTTTTTATCCTATGGCTGGAGGAGATGAGGAGTAAATTTGTACTCGATATGAAAATTTCTAAGCCAGTGAATGGCCGCCGAGATCGCATTTTGGACATCAGTTAAGATCTACCGCAGGTGGTATTCAGAAATAATGTTTTGCATGGTCTGATCTTCATGACCACAGTCACACTGCGGGCTGGACTTCATCTTTCAGCGATAGAGTAAGTGTCCACGGCAACCTTGACCTGCTCAAATCCTGTTTAATCTCGACCATTCATGGCGATTCAAGTCAGTGCCAGGGGGTTCTGCTGCTTTTCTCGACTCAGACGCGGCTACTTTGCTTGTTCCCATGGTAGGTGGCGCGATTTTAGGCGTCGTGCTGGTGGTTGCTGATTGGCCCGATGGATGGATACCTGCCGAGTTCTCTCGATGTGATAGAAAACGCGAGACTCAGGCTCGCCCCCCAGATGTGAATGGTTCAATATGTGACAGAATCGGTGACCACGGTGCTTGGGTTGGCCAGTGAAAGGTGACCGTGACCTCGAGAATGAATCTGTGTGACTAACAGTCGTCCATCTGCGTTAACTGTCATCTAAGCCTAAATATTATTCGTCAGAAGAAAGACTGTCGTGGACCACAGTACTAAGTTTTTGTAACACAATCAATTCTCCAGTTAGGTATAATTTTATTTCACCTGCGT